GCACTTTCCCTTTATTGTTTTCATTTTGCGGTTTTATTATCAATTTCATATTTTGTAAAACTTTAATGAATTTAAAAGCGAGCACTGGCAACGTTGTACAGAAAAATGTTTTTATCTCCAGCGTGCGAGACTCTGTATCGGAAATTCTAAAGATATACTCAATTTAAAACTACTTTGTGATATTGCTCTTGAACTAAATTTTATGGTTTAAGTACGAAGAACAAGATAATAAATAAAGGTAACAGACAGAATGTTAAAAAAAACGCCCCTTTGGACATAATTTAAAATCTGAAATCTTTCAGACTTTTTTTTTTTAATCTTATTTTCTACCTTTGTTCTCAGTGAATGATCTAAAATTAATATTGATAACACAATTGATATAATTTATATTATATCTGATTTTTCATGAACATTGGCACTGTTATTGTAATAAATAAAAGATGTTTTTAAAGCCATGTGGCATGTATCTTGGTAAAGAATAATCATTTGGTTTTTAGTCCAAGGGGACACTGTCCCTCAGGGACTATTGTTTTCATTTTGTGATTTTGCATCAAATCACTCTGAATGTCTGTTTCACCTTTCAAACTGTTGCCACCAAATATTATCACCCTGTATTATATTTGAAGAAAATAAGTAATGAAGAATCTGCATTAATGTATTTATGTTTCTCGCTTTGTGATAAAACAACAGTACCTAGAGCCATCAAATTTTGAATGATGTAATCCTATTGCGAATATGGGCATCTGGAATCCCAAATTTAAAATTTGTTTAATTATCAATTTCATATTTTGTAAAACTTGACAAATTTTTTGTTAACAAACTCAACGATTTCAAAGCAAGCAGTGCCAGTTATACAGAAAAAATATTTTTATCTCCAGCATGTGAGACTGTTTATCAGAAATTTTAAAGATGTGCTCAATTTAAAATTATTTTGTGACATTGCTCTTGAACTGAATTTTATGGTTTAAGTGCGAAGGACATGATATTCAATAAATAAAGGTAACACACAAAATGTTAAATAAACGCCCCTTTGAACGTAATTTAAAATCTGAAACCTTTCAGATTTTCTTTTGTTTTTAAAATTCTAAATACAAGGTAGATTGAAGCCTCCAGTAAGCTGAATTGTGTCCTGCAGGCTGTACATTAAATAACCCTATTCTACAGATTTTCTCATATTTATATCTCATAAAGAGAGGGTAAAATATATGACAAATATATCTGTTTTATGGGTTTTTTATTAACACCTAAAACTTTGCTGTTATTTCTATTAACTGTTATTAATAATGTCATTTCCAGGCAGTTGTTACCATTTGCTTGCATTGCATACACATTCTATCTTTCGTATTAGTTTTGCTAAAATTTCACATATTGTTTGTCATTAATTCTTATAAAAAAAGTTGAACTTTTCACTTATTCATGTTGTAAATATAATTAAAGGTATTAATAACTTTCAGAGTTGTTAGTATACACAAAATAGGAAATAATTATATGAACCAAACAAATAATAAATTCTGAGCATTAAAATAATGGGTATGTTATTGTCTAATTAAAATGCATGATTATCTGTTGTCCAGCATAAGAAATTTTCTATGATACTGATTTAAAACCAGTTTAACTATGTAAATGTCATTCTGTATTATAATAATTTTCTTAAATTGTTGCATACACATTTACATATATATATATATATATATACACATTAATATTTAAAGAGCTAAACTACAGAATGTTTTTGTTAAAAGTATGTATTGTCATTTATTATGGTTTAAGCAATTAACTGTATCTATGTTGTTGAAAGTTATTGTAATTCCATGCTTTTGGCCAAGCATCTGTAATAGTGATTTAAAAACTTCCATTTCCTTCTGTTTCTCTTGACGCCAGTGGTTTTCTTCAGTAAGTAATCGTTGTCGTTCTTTCGATAATTCATCACTGAATCGTTTTCTCTCGAGTGCTACGTATCTGTCATGAACTTTTTTCTGCCTTTGTTGTAGAAAAGTTTGTTTATTTTGTTTTTGAAATTCCCTTCTTTTATTGTTTTTGAACGAAATGTCTTTATTTACGTTTAGTTTTTTTCGTTTTTCTGTTGAAAAATCAACATGTGATTTCAAAGTCGTGCTTTTATCATATTTATTTTCACGTTTGGTTTCTGTTTTAGTTTCATCTTGATCATCTTTTCGTTCCGGTGCTCCAGCCTCATCATTGTATACAATACTCTCTATTACCGATGATGGTTTCATAACAGTGCATTTTCCGAAAATTTCGTGTACTTTGTCATAGCAACCCAACAGTTTTCTAGCGAATGCTGGAGAATAATTATTATCAACAACCGTCTTATAATCACGCCGTAATTTTTTAATTTTTTCCCGACACTGTTCACCGGTACGATCGATACCCAAGTCCATCAGCCGTTTTGATATTTTATCATAAATGCACATGTTATGAAGTCTACCGGATAACTGTTGCTGTATTTCTTGATCTGCCCAAACATCCAGTAATGCACATACTTCACTGTAAAGCCACGCAACACCTTTAGACGTATTTTTCACTGACATTTTGAAGTAAGAGAAATTTCACAATCTCTCTACGAACGCCATTTGTGTGTATAGTTTTGAGCTGTGGTGTTGCCAGATGTAATAGTGGAATTTTTTTTTTTTTTTTTTTTTTTTTTTTTTTCTTTTCCCAAACGCTTGCGCTCGTTTTTCCGTTAATTTTTGCTTTACATTAATGAATACGAATTTGAGAATGGCATTATGTTTGAAAACTGTAAGAAATTATTGATCGTTTAATTTTAAAAATTTTCTTTTTGATTCATAAGGCCTGATTTTCGATTCCTTTACGATATTCAAATTTATTTTAGTGAAAGTTAATAAAAAAGTGTGATGCTTTAGATACTATGTTTGACGGAGGCAAGTTAATTCAAGCTTTAAGTAAATAAAGTCTAAGTAGGAAACCATTTATTGAGATTGGTCTGAGTGTCATTCAATTAAAAAGTTTTGTTTTCCCTCCCTTCCCTTACTAGGCATTGAAAATAGGTATATTTTACTTATATATTTTTAAGGTAATTTGAGTTGAAAACTCAGTTTTATGGTAAATATTTAGGAAATTTGCATTTACATCGATTAATTATTTTCAGCAATACTAGATAATTTATGGAATAAAACAAGAGGGGAACTAGAATCTTAACTGTTCAATAAATATCAAATATCATTAAAAAGAGGGGTTAAAAATTTTATTTATAAGAAATACAGAATGATTTACACCTAACAGGCTTGCACAACTGAGATATTTGATTAAATAGTGAAAAGATGTGAATACCATAATATGCAGACTGAAGTGAAACACAGCCTGCATATTAATAAGTGTTAAATTTAACCTGCTTGATGTTGATATTTAGTTAGATAGCCATTATTTTCATTTAAAATATTGCTAAATCATGGTAAAATTTTCTTAAAATTGCTGTTTAATTTTCAAGCATAGTTTTTTAATATATTATTTTAGAAGAGACGTGTTTATGTATCTCAAAACTGAAGACTTCAAAATAAGAGTTTTTTTTAATAATTAGTCTTTAGAGAATAAAATGAATTAGTGAAACTTTTGTGACATAATGTTGATGTAGTTATATTTTTGCATGCATGTTTATATCACCTTATTGTATCAGCTTTAAACTGAGTGTTTTGAAAGAGGCTTGTTTTGTTTCTTCCAGATTTCACTAGGTTAGTTCATTTACTTCGTAGAAATATTTATTTAAAAAAAATATATTATCTAGAAAAATAGGGGGTTTTCATCCGCAGAGAACCCGTTGGCGCTTCGGGAAAGAACCCGTTGGCGCCGTTGCATTTTTACTCGCCAAGCTGAGCCGAGCCGTAAACGTGGTTTTTAGTGTATGTAAATTCAAGTTAGCAGACAATGGTAGTAAAAATTCACAGATAATAAGTATGTACATGTAAAACTAACAGGTTAAACGTGGTATACGAAAATAAATTTGTATTAAATTCAAGTTAGCACAGAAAACAATGTATTAAGCATAACGGGAAGTAGAAATTCATTTAAAAAATAAAAATTAGTATTGTTATACTTACGTTTACATTATACTTATATGTATTTTCTCTAATTCATATAGAATACTAATATTTCTATTACAAGTGTCATTTTTCATTATTAAGTACTTGGCATGTTGATTGATGTATTTCGGTAAGAGCCATGCCCATGTAATAAATTAATGAAAGCATGACCTTTAATATATCCATTTTACATAGTTTTCAGTTTTTTTTTTTTTTTTTCTAAGTTACTTGCATACAGCTTAAAGCATTTTACGTTGCAACAAATACCTGTCCTTTTTCATAATATATTTCACAATACAAATAACCTTCAACAGTAATGAAATTTTCTTTACTAGCATTGTTAAGTTAATATAACTAGAACTTTATACATTTAAAAATTATTTTAGGATTTGGAAACCTCATGGTTCCGCGTGCTTACAGCTGTTAATAATTAAGAACATAACGTAAACAGCATGTTACAAATTAGCATTCACCCCTCCCGCCATATTTTCTTCCTTTGATTCCGAACTGACGAGCCGAGAACCGGCATCTTTCGACGAAAACTTCTTTAATTATGCGAAAATATTTCTATCTATTCGTTGTTAAAAAATTCAGAAAAAATAACAATAAATAAGAGAAGAATAATATAAATCTCCAAATGCGAACAACGACAACCTTCGCACAAGCGAATGGGATGAATTAGCTAGGTTACCATGTTTGAACTATTATCGCCAAAGTTGGCGATGTTTACATTTACCGGGTTCTCTGCGGAAGTGCTTCCAAAATAAATAGAAATCTATATCTAATACTTAATATTTAATTGATATGTGTCTTTTGATATGTACGATAATCCATGTATACTTTTCATATGTTATATTCAACTTTTTACAGTTTATTGAATATTCCAATAAAATTTAGTAAATATAAAATGTAATTAAAAAAGTTCCATTTTTTTGTTAGGTTTTATACCTGGATTACAGAATTTAGGCAATTCTTGCTTTCTAAATGCTGTTCTACAAGCTCTGGCTTCATGCCCATCCTGTATCAGCTGGCTTCAAGATATTGTTACATCTGCAGATGAGTCTGTGCTAAATGAAAATTATGCATTAATAAAAACACTTTTATCAGTTTTGACAGGTAACGACTTATTTTTTCAAAAATTATTTATATGTATTAAATATTTATCTTTTTCCAGAAATTTCTTAATGGATGAATACATATGCATTTCTTCAATTTTGGGGGATCTGTATTTTGGGAATAATAATTCATGTATAATGATTTTTGGGATTTATATTTCTTTTTTCTTTTCCTTTTCCTTTTTTTTTGCGGGGGGGGGGGGTAAACCGGAATTAGAGTGGAAAACTAGTGTTAGCTTCTGAAAAAAGGAAAAAAATTGCACAATTTTTAAAGATTCAAATGAAAGTTTTCATTTTGTAACTTTTTTCCCTTCACTAAGCATAGTGTTTTCAACTTACATTAAGCATAGAATTTCAAGTTCAGTTTAAACATTATTGGCTAGAAAATAACATATTAATAAAATAATTGTTGCATAATGAGTGTATACTTATGTGATTATAAAATGTTTTATTAAAAAAAGTGCTCATGAATATTAGGTATTAGGATTGAAAATATTAAAAAACGGTACTATTCGGTTTTGAGGGCCGTAAAAAATCGCCAAACTATTGTTGATGCCAGTGCTGCCAAAAATAATTGCGGCAACCCTAATGAAAGAAAGAATATGTAATAGTAAATAACTATCTAAGATTGATGTTTTAATTTAGATGAAAGGTTAATTTCATATAATACTTTTTAGATCATTATTATAATTTATATAAAAATTGTTAAACATAACTGAATGGATGCCTGCATCGCTATTTCGCTAATTTTCTATAATGAATGATGCCTTTTCTTTGAAAAAATTCTCGGTAAAGTGCAGAAAATCGCCCACTGCTTTGTCCTCTTTTTACAAGGGTAAAAACAATTGGATTTTTGTCAATTTTCTTTTACTTTTTAAGTGAAAATAAGTTGATGTGTACATAGATAAAGTCAAGGGTGTGCGCAGTACCATTTTTGTGCAATTCTGGGATTTTTTTAAAGTGAAAATAGGTCGATGTGCACATGGATACCGAGTATGTGCAATTCTTAAAAACGCGTCAAGCAGTGGATGATTCTGCACTTTACCCAAAATTCTATTGCAGACGTTTCGTCATGGGCAATTCCCAAATTGTTAAATCCGTAGGATATCAAAAAAGGATTTTAAATCAGAAAAGGATTTAAAAATGAAACTAGTATTTCAATGGCGTCTTAAGAAATATAGAACTATATAAACTTACGCAATCTGAAATCAGCGTGTATGCTAGATTTGGCGCGCTGTTAATTGGACGCGTTTGCTAGATTGGCGCTTTTGCGCATTCATTTTCGCTGCAATTTTTTTACGGTCCTCAAAACGGAATGGTACCAGAAGTTGCTATGTTTCCTGCTAACTTTCAAAACTATTATTGGTGAAATTGCCAATTTGCACTTCTGAGTATGGAACAGTTTTTTGCTTTAAAAATTATTGATCGTAACAACCATATTTGTTTACATTTGAAACTTAGCAGAATAGTGTATTTGTTGCCAGTCTACAGAAATTAAGCTTCGCAACAACAAAGTAATGTCTTCTTTCACTATTAGAAATTAAATCGTACTTAATCCATTCTGGAATTATCATTTAAGTTATTTTACTCAGCATAGCATCCACAACAAACTAAATCAGTTTCTTCAGTGTCTTTTTGCTAAGTGAGACCAAAAGTAAAGTGAACAAAACAGCATCAAACAAAGAACAAATATTAAAAAAAGTGGCACAATTTTTTTAAGAAACGATAGTAGAAGTTCAGGATACGCTGCATAAACAAAGTTTCGAAGGTGGAGCTATGTGATGTCCATAAATGGGTGGGACTAAGCTTTTGACATCACAATGTTTTTTCTATAGGTATAGAAATAAGTATAATAAAATGTTTATATTTCAAATTAACAGGATACAGTAAGTGAATTCTACCAGTTATTAAAACGGTAAACAATGTTGCAGTCTGTCATACTGCTATTTCATACAACTGCAGTATTTTCAAAGATTTTTAAGCTTTAGAATTTATACAGATAAAAAAAGATTTTTTTAAAATTTAAATTCATATTACAGAACATTTTAATTTGATCATTTTTACAAATTACCTTATTGCTAAGTAATGGCACAATCTCTTACATACCAGTAAGTTGACAACCTTCATTATTTTCTTTCTTCATTATTTTTGTTCTTTCAACTTTACATTAATAAAAAAAATATTGCATATCATCATCATACACAGCTTTCGTATCACTGTTTCATAAATTCTTAAATCAAATCATATTCTCTGTGGCCATACTAGAATTCTACACATTAATAAATAAAAAAATCTTAATTTCTCACAATGAGAGAAAATAAGTACTACAAATTTGGAACACTAAGCAATGCCTCACACACACATATATTATCAATGAACAAATATTAGCAAGTGCAATTACGATAGCTACATATGAACACTATGTATTAAAATAATAAGGTAAAAGTTTACAGTTTTGCTACTGCTGAGTAGATCGTCGGACTATCGATATTTATTGTATGTCAAAAAGCATGATCAACATATCAAAACCAAAAAATTAAAAATTCTATTTAAATAAATAAAAAAATGTCTAAAGTATAATTTACAATTAAAAGAGCAATACAAATTTTAAATACGCAAATGATACATTAAACATTGCACATAAAATATGTTACATCACTGCTCAGCATCATATACAGCCTTGCATGTGCACAACGATCTGTATTCGCTCAAAAAACATCAAAGAATTGCATAAACTCAGTGTCCACAATCTTATTTTCACTCAAAAAAATCAGAGAATTGCACAAACTTGGCATCGCGCACAACCTCGGCATTGCGCACTGCCTTGGCTTTCTCCATGTACACATCAATCAAATTTCACTCAAAAAAAAATTGGAGACTTGCACAAACTTGCATCGCAAACAACCTTGGCAGTGTGCACTACATACATTGGCTTTGCCCATGTACACATGGATCTATTTTCACATATAAAATATCAGAGAATTGCACAAACTCGGCATCACGCACTGCCTTGGCTTTGCCCATCTTCTAGGATTAAGCCCAAAAGATAAAATGTTACAAATAAGCAACTTTAAAAAGAAAAAATAAAGGGAAAAATTGTTCACTTATTCTTTTCAGGAAAAATTAAAAGTATTTGAGGGGTTTTATATATGTATTTTGAATTTATGTCAAGGGGGAAACTCCCTGAACCCCCCCCCCATCTTTATGAAAATTTACTCCGTTTTTATCCGCTGTTTCCGGAATATATGCAGAAAAATGGAAAAACACACAGGAAAGAGGAAGGGGAAAAAAAAAAAAAAAACACGTAAGACCATTCAAACAGCAACTAAATTAACTGCTCAAACCAACAAGTAAAAATTTTTAAAAAATTCAAATTTTATATTACATCCCAAAGGTTTTTTTTTTTTAATGCTTTATGTGTTATCTCTATTTATTATTAAATATCATGTTCTTTGCATTGAAACCATAAAATTTAGTTTAAGAGCAATATTGCAAAATAATTTTAAAATGAGCATATCTTTAGAATTTGCAATACACAGTCTTGTATGCTGGAGATAAAAATGTTTTTTCTGTACAGTGTTGCCATTGCTTGCTTTGAAATCATTGAGTTTGTTAATTAAAAATTCATTAAAGTTTTATAAAGTATGAAATAGATAATAAAGCAAACTCCAAATTCCAAACATGGGCTTCCAGATGCCCATATTCGGGAGGAAACGTACATTATTCAAAATTTGGTGAAATTAAAATATATGATGAAATTTAAACAAAATTCAAATACCATTGTTTTATCACAATGCAAGAAACATTCATACATTTATGTAGATTCTTTATTATTTAATTTCTTTAAATATAACACAGGACAATAATATTTAGTGGCAACAATTTGAATAACAACATGGCTTCAAAATATCGCGTTAGCCATTTTGGCGTGTTTATTGCCCGTTAAAAAAAATCACCAAGCAGTGGGCTAAACCGTATTTGAGCCCTATAATTAATACTTTATTTGTTTGTAATTAATAAAATCAGTCTGATGAAAAGTTTTAAGAATAGCCTTCTTTCATGAGTATTTTAATATTTTATAATACAAGACTTTCAGTAGGCTGTTATAAATAATACTAGAATTAAGTGAATTCTCAATTATGATAAATATTGAATAGACTAATGAAATACAATGCATTCGCAGAAAATCATTTGAAAATTTTTTTGTTACTCATTTTAAATTATCTTCATTAGTTTATTAATAATTGGTTAAAAATTCAACTTAATGTTTTTAAACTAAATGCAGGGCTACTTCTCTTGTATCATATTTGAAAAGGCTTAACAGTTAAAAAGAACTGTTTAAATGAAACTAATACCCATTAATTTTGATATTATGGATTCAGTTAACTATTAATAAATAGTTTTTAAAATGTAAATGAATGATGCAGGTTTAAAAAGATAGATTTTGAAGATTTTATTTATTATTTGCTGGCTATTTAATTTTTAATTAACTTGGATGGTAACATTTAATTTTTAATAAGTTCGAATGTTAACTTTTCTCTTAAAAATGTGATTATTTTAGTAAATATATTTCATTATAAATAGATGCTGTGATATCGAAATTCATATCCAAGTATGGATTTCACTTTTATATTTTTCAACGATGTTATATGTTGCATATGCTTAATATTTTATGTTTTGTATTATTTATATATTTTATGATAGAATATAGTCAGTTATTTACATTTTTAGTATTAAATGATTTAAAACAGTGTGATACATGTAGACTTTTTTATTCATCTCATGCATGCAGTTTCTTTCTAGAAACCCTTAACCTTTTTAAATGATGTAAAACATGTTCCATAACCAAGATTCTTTGATGTTATTTACATTTGGGAAGGGGAAAAAAATATTCACATGACATTTAAAAGAGAATTTTTAAAACAATTGTAAAGCCAAGAATTTTTATTTGCTTTTAACTTAAAAGAATTTTTAATGTTAAAAAATGGGCAATTTTTTAAACTAAAAAAAAGAAACTTAAGTAATTTTTATATATTTCATATTTATATATTTTTATTATTTCAGTTTCTTGATTCCCATAATATATTTTCAGCTCTAAATGGTACAGATGACATGTGTAGTGGAGAAAGTGTGATTAATGTATTAAGATCTCACAGATGGTGCATCTCAAATGATGAACAGGTAATATGTTCTAAATAAATAAATAAACTGTTTCACATGTTTGAGTTCCATGAAGATTTTTAACTAAAAATATGAAAGGTCTTTATTTTTTGTTTTTATTTAATTATTAATTATTATTATTGTCTTTACAATAGGATATTATTTGTTTTTTTTTTATTAATTATTTAAAAAATTTTAGGATGCCCATGAACTTTTTCATGTTCTTACAACAACTATTGAAGAAGAACTCACATCTCCATCTCCGGTAATGTCTCTTTTGGATGCTGGTAAATTAGAGGTATTTCTTTCTGTCAGTTTAAAAGTATTTCTAAATTTTGATATTCATTGCTATTCAGGTTATGTGATCATGTGAAACATCAAGCTGAACTCCAGTTTTTCCTCTCCTATTTTAAGTCAGTATTTATTTTATTAGTATTTTTCAGTAGGTACTTTGATGTTATTTAAAGAGTTGCTTCATAAGTCTTACTTTAGCAATAGGGCCTGATATATAACACTTTTTTGTGTTATATGTATCAGGATTTCATTGACACCATGTTTTAGTTTAGGTGCTTGTACAAATAATGTTAGTTTTTTTTTTTTTTCCAAAGTCCAAAGGGGCTTTGCCCCTGAAGAACTATTGTTTTCGTTTTGTGATTTTGCGTTGGTTCACTCTAAATGTCACTTTTCAAACTGTTACCATCAAATGTTAAAGTCCTGCATTATATTTGAAGAAATTAAATAATGAAAAATCTCCATAAATGTATGCATATTTCTCGCATTGTGTTAAAACAACGGTACATACGGCCATAGAATTTTGAATGACGTAATCCTACTGCGAATATGGACATGTGGGAGCCCAAATTTGAAATTTTTTTATTTATCGATTTCGTATTTTGTAAAACTTTAACGAATTTTCAATTAACACACTCAACAATTTCAAAGCAAGCAATGCCAATGTTGTACAGAAAAAAAAAAAAAAAAAATTTTTTTATCTCCAGCGTGCAAGACTCTGTATCAGAAATTCTAAAGGTATGCTCAGTTTAAAACTATTTTGTGATATTGCTCTTGAACTTAATTTTATGGTTTAAGTGCAAAGAACGTGGCATTAAATAAATAAAGGCAACAGACAAAATGTTAAAAAAAAGTGTCCCTTTGAACGTAATTTAAAATTCTGAAAACCTTTCAGAATATTTTTAAGCAAAGAAATGATCGAGGACATGCTAACTACTTAAATTATAAGAGCCTGCATGGAGAAATGTGATAATTCCTTATAAAGAGTTTGCAATTTTTTTTTTTAAATTAGAGCATAAAATATTATAAGTTTATTAACTCCCTATAAAATAAGAACTTTCTTTGCTCCTTCCGATGCATAGAGCTATTCAGTAAAATAAGGATCAGTCTAAGGTTAAATTTAACCTAATTTTTTTTTATCTCTGTTAATGTTTCTTAGTTATTGAAATTGTTTTTCTCCTTCATAAGTAATAATTTGTAAGCATTATTGCAACTTTAAGTATGTAGAGTCAGTTACAATTTTTTTGATGTCAGGAAACTGAAGAAATCTGCGGTGCTTTCCCTGGGATTTGAATTTGAGACTTCCCAAATGCATGTCGTGTGTGCTGTGTGCTTCCACATACATGTAGAAAAAAAGGAGAGAGAAAATATCTTATGTACTTCCGTGTGTGGCAAACACATAACAGAAAAGTACACAATTGTGTGACAGATATGTAACAGAAAAGTACCTGATTAGGATTCTGGTTTTTATTTTTTCTGCATTCTGATACTTTATGCCCTATTCTCTTGCAGTTGTAGCACCTAAAGGCTTTTGCATTCTTAGACTTCTTTTTCGCATTACGGTGGTATTTTAGTTACTTTTGTGTTGCTGTGATATTTAGTAATTAACACCTACATTTGGTAGTTTTCCTCTAGTTTAAATTGCTGACTCTTAGATTCTCTTAGTAACTTAAATTTTAGTGTGTTTAAGGCAGGCAGTTTGTCACGAGATTCTGTTATGTTTAAAGCTTTCAAATTCCTTGGTTAAGCTACATAGTAGCAAAGTGATTATTCTTCTAGAAATTTGGGATCCTATTTCTGTAAGTTTATCTGCCGTTTCAAAGACAGAAGATAAATAATTCTGCATTTTTTTGTTTGTGTTCATTTTTTAAAAATGAGTTGCTTCATAAGGCTTACTTTAGCAATAGGATCTTTAGGCTGATGGATTTCGTGCAGTTTCTGATAGAAATCACTTAAATGGCAGATATATTTTTGAAATATAGTAGAAAGAAATAAGCAAACCACAAATGTATGTTTATTTACTTGACTAAATAAACTGTTGCCATTCAGCAAAACAACAAAGAGCTACACATTAATATTAAGGAACATAGAGTCTATAATTATAGCATTACTGTGCCAGATACAACATCATAAAAATAAAATAAAGTTTATTTCTAACAGTTTCATCCATGCTTCATAGGAAGTTTTAAGTTTTTTAATGTGATCTATCAGAGGAGATTTCACAGTCAGCAATAATTGCTAAAACTGTTTGGTCTTTTACTACCCATTTGTCTAGTTCGGCAAATTTCGGAAGTTTCTGGCTCCATTAACTACCTACAACTTCCCAAAGTTCTGACTGGATTAAACATTTTCACTTGGAAACACCATTTTGGAAAGTTAGTGTTATCCATTTTCTCAATTTGAGTACAGTCAAAAGTCGTTAATTCGGACACTCATAATCCAGAATGATCTATAATCTGGACCTCAAAGCTACAAACTTTCTGCGCATGCGTCGCGTTCACGCATGCGCACAGGCGTTTACGAGTGCACGTAAGACCTTTACGGCTGCGAATATGTTTGTGCGCATGCGCGTTTAATGTGTAACGGACGGTATAAACTAAGCTAAAATTATCTAATTCAGTTAATGTTGCAGATTGCGTTGTTCATTAATCTTCGAATTGTATCCGGCTTATTATTTTTTGCAGACTGTTAGAGCAATTTCATAAAAGTAAGCTTGAACTTTCGATTATGTCAAATAGAATTTCCGATGTATATTTACTAATATGTAATTTATATCTACAAAGCGAAAGTGTGTTTCGAAATCCGAAATCTGTTTATCATTTCATGCAGCGGATTGGAAGTTGATTTGTCAGCACTATCCTTATCTTCAAGGCAGATGTTTTTATTTTATTTGGCTTATAGTTCCTTACTAAGTGTAGTATTTCATCTCGATGTACTCAGTCTTTGATATGATTTAAATCAAGTTCCTCGTCATTATAATTCGCTTCCGATAGTGACTCAGAGGTTATTGAAAACAAAAACATTTCGATTGACAAATTAGTAGGTATTCTCAACACAGCAATTATAGGACTTGAACAGCGGAACTTTGTAACTAAAAAAGAAATTATTGTCTGTTTAATAGAATTAAAGAGAAAGTATTATCACATGAAACGAAGCAACTTACATTGAAAGAAATGTTTAATAAAGTAAACAAATAAATATTAAGCTTTTTCTTTTTGTAAATTTTGATACCCTTTAGATCATAATTGTTCTTTATTTCATAAATTACGGTTTCATATTTTTAATTTTGTAATTTCTGTATGCCATCTTACCAGATTTAAACTGATGATCTATAATCCGGAATCGCCGAAGTCCCGACGAGTCCAGATTAAAGACTTTTGACTGTATTTGTGTTCTTCATTTCCATTAGTAACATACTGTTTCAGTAAAGTCAAGGAGAAAAGTAATTATGTTTCCATTTTTTTACACCAAAAAAGCGCAGATATTTGACTTACTGCTTAGATGTGTATCTCCAATGGACTATCCGGGCCCATAAGCCGTTGTTTTATTTTTGGTGATGTTGAAAGCAATATGTAGTAGAAAATTCAGTTGCCTAGTTTTAATGGGTGCTTTCCATGAGGTTTACAAAATAGATGAATAGGGCATGTCAGCTTATGACATGCAAAAAAACTTAAAGTTAATAATGGTTATTAACTTGAGTGGTATAAACTACTGTGTTATGTCAGTAGCGTCCACTTGGCAATTCATTTAGGTCGGCCAGTACTTGGCTACAATTCCATATGATACTTCATACATATATGCTCTCTGGAATACTTTGCTAGATTCCTATTCCTAATCTAATCTTCAATAGCTATAGTCTATTCCAAGGTTCCATGCATCAAATCGCTGCACTGTGCTGGAGAGAATCACAGCTACTGCCTTTAAAAACAACGAGAATGACACAAGGTACATCGGATGACACACAATCTTCACTCATTTCTTAGCTTCTACCGCGGAATTACACACAGCACTGGATTTTTCAACACTGTGCTGAGGCAAAGGGAATTGCAAGTTTACCAATGCACTGTACCTATCTTGAATAATTATTATATTGAAGAATTTGCATATCAATTCAAAAACCCATTTTCAAACATGTTTTAATGCAGTTTATTTCAGGCATTAAGATAAAAATGATTTCTCAAAATTGAGTTACTTATTTTTGCTGTTTGAAATCAAACCCGTACTTTTAATAAAGCATCTTATAAATTGTTAATATGGTATTTCCATTGGTTAATCTTTGGATTATGGTAACTTTGCGATTTTTTGGCAAAAATTTGGCGACCAACCCTGCTACAGCAACCTGCTAGTTTTGGTTTTCACGAAGTAAAGGCATGTTTTTTTTTTTTTTTTTTTACTTAACATTTTTTCCAACAATCTGCTAGCCGAATTACGCTCATGCTAGAACTTTTATGGAACAAAAGTGCTTAATCATGACGAAGATTAGGTGCGAAATTGGGAGAAAGTGCAGAATCGCAAACTGCTTGCCGCGTTTTTAAGAATTGCACATACACGGTATCATCCATGTACAAGTTGACCTATTTTCACTTAAAAAAAATCCCAGAATTGCACAAAAATGGCATTGCGCACACTCTTGACTTTATCCATGTACACTGCTAAAGTCCTAGCTAGTAACCTTTATTGCCTTACCAAAATGTCGCCAAACTACCTGTTACCATATTCCAAATATTAGCCTTTTCATTAATTGTTATTTCATATTTAAGTGTTAAATTAATAATTTTCGTCCATAAGTATGAATTAAGTGGTATATGTATATAATTTTTAAAACATATCATGTATCAGTTATTAATCTGCTTTCTACAAACTAAAAAAGACTTAGGGTATCTGGCAAAATATCTACTAAAAAATACATTTTAGTATCTCAGAAACAATATAATTTCATTAGCCAGGTTTATTTTTAGGAAAGAGAAACACATATATAATTTTAAGAGAGGAAATAAATAAATAAGAATTCAAAGAAAATATTTGCAGATGAGCAGATCCTCATGTGTATTCATTGATAACTATTAAGGCAGTTTAAAGCTGTGCTAAGTGAAAAGAACTAATATTTGCTTTTCATTTTTATTTAGAATTTTTTTAGTGTATGTACATATATAAATCTTGTGTGTGCCTGTTTTTTTATTCTTTCACTTAGACTGAAGCAAATATAAGAAATAGTTGATCAGTTATATGCGAGATAATTTTTGTATGAATTATCTTCTTCTTACTAACCCTTCTCATTTGAATCAGATCAGATCCATAAGTTATACAGTCAAAAGTCGTTAATTCGGACACCCATAATCCGGACCTCAAAGCTAAGACCTTTCTGCGCATGCGCCGCGTTGGCACATGCGCACAGGCGTTTTACGCGTGTGCGTATAACCTTGACTACTGCGCATATGCGTGTGCGCAAGTGCAAAATACATTTTCGCCTGCGCGTTTAATGTATAACGGACGGGTAAGCTAAAATTATCTAATTATCTATTTCAGTTAATGTTAATGATTGCGTTGTTCCTCAATCTTCGAATTGGATCCCGCTTATTATTTTTTGCAGACTGTAAGAGCAATTTTATAAAAGTAAACTTGAACTTTTGATTATGTCAAATAGAATTTCCGATGCTGGAACTTCCAAAGGATCTACAAAACGAAAGTATGTTTCGATGTCCAACAAACAAAAAGTGGAATTGCTGCAAAAAATGGATAAAGACATGAAGAATGTGACAGAGAGGTTAGTGAAAACAAAAAAATTTCGATTGACAAGTTAGTCGGTATTCTCGGCACAGCAATTAACGGGACTTGAACAGCGGAACTTTGTAACTGAACAAGAAATTATGTCTTTTTATAGAATTAAAGAGAAAGTATTATCACATAAAATGAAGCAACTTAAACAACTTACATTGAGAGAAATGTTTAATAAAGTAAACAAATAAATATTAAGCTTTTTTTTTTTTTTTTTTTTTTTTTTTAATTTTGATATTCTTTAGATCATAATTGTTCTTTATTTCATAAATTATGGTTTCATATTTTTAATTTTAGAATTTCTGCATGCCATCTTACGAGATTTAAACTGATGATCTATAATCCGGAATCGCCGAAGTCCCGACGAGTCCGGATTAACGACTTTTGACTGTAGTATGAATAGCATGAATTGTAATTCACGTAAATAATGCTTGTAAATAGAAAATAGGCGATATTTACTTATTTTCTCTTATTCTATTATGTTGATGCATAAGTACATATGTTATTGTTATAATATTAAATTATCAACTCTCACTAGAGCTGAAATTAAATATTGTATATGTTGGCATGTAAGACGTACCCTCTTTTTTACACGTTTCTGAAGGATAAAACTTTATTACTGAATTTACAGTGTTTTAAATATAAAGTAATACAAAGTACAGTCAAAAGCCTTTAATCTGGACTCGTTGGGACTTTGGCGATTCTGGATTATAGATCATCAATTTAAAATCTGGTAAGATGGCATGCAGAAATTATAAAATTAAAACTATGAAATGGTAATTTATGAAATAAAGAACAATTAGGATCTAAAGGGTACTAAAATTTACAAAAAAAAAAAAAAAAAAAAAAAAAAAAAAGCTTAATATTTATTTGTTTACTTTATTAAACATTTCTTTCAACGCGCGCATGCGTAAAGCATATATTACGCATAGTCGAAATTAGAAAATTGCAACCAGAAAACTATTGGATGTGTATTCGTGTTATTTATAATGACAAGGAATTTGATTTAAATCATATCAAAGACTGAGTACATCGAGATGAAATACTACATTTAGTAAGGAATTAGAAGCCGAATAAAATAAAAACATCTACCATGAAGATGAGGATAGTGCTGACAGATCAACTTCCAGTTCATTGCACGCCGCAATGTCCCCCCCCCCCGGCAGAGCAGCGTCAAATTGATAAACATATTTCGGAATGATTACAGAATCAAAGGATATGCCTTTATCTATTTTTTGCAACAATTCCACTTTTTGTTTGATGGACATCGAAACATGCTTTCGCTTTGTACGAGGCATATTCGGAAACTAAGTACCGTTTTAAAAAAAAATAATAAAACAATTTTTTCGAATCCAATTTTATTTTTACATGAAAATACATGTCTTAAACTATTTTTCAACATAGTTTCTGCCAATGATCAAACACTTGTCATAGCGGGTGACCAGTTTTTGTATATCATCGTCAAAGAAACTTCCCGCCAGTTTCGATAACCACGACTCCACAGCATTTTTTGTGTCATTGTCAGATCCAAAGAGCTTGCCACCAAGCTCGCGCTTCATGTGCAGGAACAAGTGATAGTCGGACAGCGCCAAGTCCAAGCTGTACGGCAGGTGATCGAACTGCTCCCAATGAAACTGTCGAATTAACGATTGAGTGACACCAGCAGTATGGGGCCGAGCATTGTCATGGAGCAACACAATTCCTTTACTGAGCATTCTTCTTCGTTTGTTTTGAATGGCAGGCCTTAGTTTTGTAAAGTCTCACAATAACCTGCCGCATTAATGGTTTCACCTCTGGGAAGAAATTCAGTAAGCAAAACGCCTTGCCTATCTCAGAAGACAGTGCACATGATTTTTTGTGATGACATTGTCACTTTGAACTTTTGTATTTTGGAAGAAGGAGTGTGTCTCCACTCCATCGATTGTTGTTTCGATTCTGGTGTGAAATGACACACCCATGTTTTATCACCTGTCACAATTTGATTTAAAATGTTTTCTCCCTCATCACTGTACCGCGTGAGAAATGTCAGGGCACTACCAAGTCGCTTTGTTTTGTGAAAATCAGTTAGCATTTTTGGAACCCATCGGTAACACAGTTTGCGATAATTCAAGCGGTCAGGCACAATTTCGAACAAAACAGTACGTGAAATTTGTGGAAATGCCTCTGAAAGTGTTGTCATTGTGAAGTGTCAGTTGTCATGAATTGCTTCATCAACTTTCCTTATCAAATCATCGGTGACAACAGATGGCCGACCTCGACCCGCATTAAACATTCTGACCCACTTATCGTGCTCACCATTCCATCACTTATTGCGTATTCACCGTAAACTTCTGTCACTTGACGATAAATTTCGGCCGGTTTAACATTCCTCGCGTTCAAAAATTTAATCACGGCACGAATCTCACAGTCAGCGGGAGAACTAATTGTCTTAAACATTTTGAATGTGCACAGCAAACTGAAAACACAACATAGAGCAACCAAAATGGTGACAATTGAAAGTCAGTGAACAAGAAAGACTAGTGCGCATGCGCGGGACGCCTACCACAGCGCTGCAACGGCGCTAGAATGAAACGCTACTTAGTTTCCGAATACGCTACGTAGATCCTTTGGCAGCTCCAAAATCGGAAATTCTTTTTGACATAATCTAAAGTTCAAGCTTACTTTTATAAAATTGCTCTAACAGTCTGCAACATTAACTGAAATAGATAATTAGATAATTTTAGCTTAGCTTATACTGTCCGTTATACATTAAACGCGCATACGTAAACGTATTATGCGCAGAAAGTTTGTAGCTTTGAGGTCCGGATTATAGATCATTCTGGATTATGGACGTCCAGATTAAAGACTTTTGACTGTAATACTTTCTGCAATACCCAATCTATCTGAGAAAGAACATCCTTTAATCTTCTTCGTCAAAACCCACTCACTCATCTCCAAAACTAACTGAAGAGTCACTTGAAACCTCTTCTAAATCTGAGTTCTCATACAACAAATTGTCCTCTGTACCATCCAGTGTATTACTGATGCCACACTTCTTAAATGATTTAACCACTGTCTCTGTTTTCACAGCATCCCATGAAGCTTTGACCCATTCACAAACTTGCAAAATGCTAACTCCGAATAAACTGAGTATCGACGTACAAGACCCACCCCGTTTTTCAGACCGATTTTCAAAGAAAAAAAGTATGTCTTATACTCCGGCAAATACAGTATTTAGAAATTATCAATGTGATAGTTTTTTCCAAATTAATTTTTTTCCATGTTATTGACTTGTGTTGAATGTTAATTTTGCATTTTAATTAAAATAAAGCATCAAAAAGTAATTAATGGAAAACATAATAACATCAGTTTGATATATTTTTATTTTAGAGGTATATTTAATTGCATGTCTTGCGGTTTAATAATGTATGTTTCTGAATAGGATTTGTCTAGTGAAAATACTGCAACAGAAGTAAAAAAGTCTTTTATTTCATCCAAAAAAGTATCGCCAGTGAAGATTGCTTCTCCACTTCGTGGTTTATTGGTCAGTGAGTTAAAATGTACTTCTTGTAAGTCAAAGGTGAGTAATATATAAAGAACATAAAAAATTACACTTGGTTGTTTATATTTATTCTTAAAAAAACATGAGCATTTGAAATGGGCAAAAATATGTAAAAACATTTTTGTATTTCCTCTTAGTTTCCAGCAAGCTATGATACATTTGACAGTATATCTCTAACTATTCCGACATCGCAGTGGGTAAGTTTTAAAAAATTAAGCTTATTTTTAAATTATGCGCTGTTCTGTAGATCATTTAAATTGTTTCTGACATATTTTTGTGTCTAGAAATGTGACAGAAGAATTTTGTTGCATTATAGGGACAACTTACACTTCAAGATTTGCTATTGAAGTTCATATCTTGTGAATTTGTACAAGATGTAACATGTGAAGTTTGTCCTAAGCTGATGGATGAAGGTAGTTCTAAACCAAAAACAGTATTTTGTAAACAGCTTAGTTTTGGGAAGGTAAAGTTACCTTAAAATAATTTCATATACTAATTGGCTAAAACTGCTTTTTGAGCATATCTAACTTTGGAAGTATTCTCTAAGCTATTCCAGACTTTTTTTATATGTATTTCTTCATGCTAAACATTGTATTTGAAAGTAGTTATCTTATTTCTATAGTTATGTCATTCTTATTTTTTTATTCCAGTATTAGTTTTGATTGTATGTTATAATTGTATTATTAGAATATTATGCAAAATTTTCTGCCATTTAATCAAAATTCACTTAAATGGTATTCCAGCATTTAATTTCACAAAAGTGAGGAAATATTATATATTTGATGTTGGAATTATACTTTATTACATTTCACAACTCTTTTAATGCTGGGCTGTAAGAGCAAAGCAAAAAATTTTGCTTCAAGAAACAACTCTTGTTTTATGTTTTTGATTCATGAAATCAGTTATCAAGAATGCCAACAGTTTGTCCAACATTTGGTTTTAGGTAGCCGAGCAGATTGGCTTTGGAAAATTTTCTTGCTTTGTTCCTGTGTGTAATATAGATACAAATTTATAAAGTCCTCCTTTCATGATTTTCTGAATTTAATATTTCCTATATTTGATAACTATTGAGTGCTTTATTACAAGTTATTTTTTAAAGTAAAATCACTTTCCCACCGACCCAGAATTTATATACAAGTCTTTGTTTTTTTACCAAATTTCCTTGTCGGTTTAAGCTTTTAATCCTGCTCATACAATTGCGCTGCCTATGATGACACCCAGTTTTACATTTCTTTTCACTTCTCCATCAGTATTCTTGAACAATTTATCCCATTTTCATATTTTATTGTCACCTTATACTTCATGTATCTGGTCATGAATGTCTGCACCTTAAGTTAAGAACTGAATGCCCGACAGCAATTCAGAGGACAGGACAGGAAGAGGTGGGTGTGACACGAGAACTTAACCAAATGGTCTCGTAGGTATAGTTTCATCATACTAACTGTAAAGTTCTGTCTCGATTTGAATAGAGCACACCCTGAGGAAAATTAGCTTCGAGCATCTCCCACTCTTTCCCAACAGTCTTCAAGACTCAGAGTAGCACGTGATTTTCAACTTCATATTACAAAACTTACTGGCTGGTGCCATGAATGTGGATGGTTTTGGATTTTGTGCAAGAAATGCCTGTATGTGCACTCCTGTACATACAGTTGTGTTTGCATGAAATTTTCAACCTGTATTGCAAACATACCTTACTTAACCACTTCATTATTTTCTCGAAGACAGATTCGGCGATTTGAAAAGTGTCATCAGTAGCTTTGAATGATTTTAATAATTCAAATTATACCCAAATGCCAATGGCCATCTTTATATATGTGTGTGTGTGTGTGTGTAAAATATGAAACAAAATTATTAAACTGGAAAACTAAAACTGAATCATTTGTCAATAGATTCATAAATTTTAATTAAATGCATCCTCGCTTCAAAGATTTACTTTATTTACTTTGCATCATTCTGCCGCATATTAGGTCCCAATCACATTATGATTCAGCTACAGGGGACTTGACGTCGAAAGGGACAATTCCAGGAAACCCATATAGCTAGCTTACCATTTTCACCTGCTACAGAGATATGAACACCAAACAGTAATCGATTATTGCTCAGATTGGGATCATGTGATCTTTCAGAAGCAGAACTTTCGTCTGATTGGTTGATCTTTACCCGGGACACACTCCAGCTGAGACATTTTGAGTGAGGTTTGAAAGAATCACATTGCAATTAATTGAATTCCTCTTCTATTTTCGTTCATTTTTCTTTAAATTTTATTAATTTTTAATGGGGTTTTGCTTGTTTGAAAAGTTTTGGTTTTAACATTTTTTAAATTCTTAGTTGCATTGAAATTTATTAACACTTTACCGACCGATCGTCTATTAATCGGCTTTTTATCGAAAATGCCTACCGATCGATAGCCTATTATTGTCTTTTCATCACCAACATCTACTGACCGATTGCCTATTAACCAACTTTTTTAGGCAACGTCTGCCGACCAATAGCCTGTTAATCGTCTTTCCATCACCAACGTCTACCGACTGATTGCCTATTAACCGGCTTTTTTAGGCAACGCCTGCCGACCGATAGCCTATTAATCCCTTTTTTCTCGGGGCTACCTGAAAATAGCCTATCAATTGGTAGCCATGGCGATAAACAATTGCCATTTGCTATATCATCTGCATTTTATTATTAGTATTGAGGTACATTGCTCACTTGCATTAAGTGCATTGCTTCGTAAACTCCCACATTTTCACACCGTTTTTAAAAAAAATTACCATTCACGATGAGCGAAAGAAATGGTACTGGAGAGTTTTATAAGTATTGTTTTGCAGTTATATATATATATATTATATATATAATTAGCTATAGAAAATATAATATACAGTTCCATAAATTATAAGATTTTTAAGCAGAGATGACATTTTCCCCAAAACCCCATTTTAAATGTAATTAAAGATTTTAACATCTTGTCACTTTTTTATTTAGAATGCATGAAAGCTAACACTTGTTGATTTGTAGGCATTTAACCATGCTGCTAAAAAAGACACAGAATCATTTCTCTAGCGCAGGTAATAAAGAATCACAAGTTGTAATAAATAGTAACTCTGCATTTAACATTAAGAAAACTGCTCAGCTTGAGTGTGAAAAAAATTAAGTTGATAATTTCAAAAGTTGTAAAAGCAATTAATTAGTAAATGTTTAAAGCATTTACATAAAACAGTCTTCTCAATCTAAACGTAATTCTTTTTTAGCCTTTTAGGCCATGGTTGCATGCTAGAGGAACAGTTCGGAATGGCTCATGGTTTTGTCTGAACTGATTGTTTTTATAAATTGTTTTGACGAACATTGCATTGAGTTCATTATGCAAAAATATCGAATTTTAGTAAAAACTGTAAATAAAATTTAGCATTTGTAAGTGTTTATAAATATGACTTGCTATGAAATTAAATATTTTTCAGTTAGGATATAAGGAAGTTTATATGAACATTTGTTCACAATTGCAAAAATGCAAATTTAACATGATAAATTTTTAGAGTGTTAATATAATTTATAATGAATCATGAATATGAATTATTTACAATGTCTTTTTCTTAGCTTCCAAAGATCTTGTCCATTCATATACAAAGAACAATGTGGCTCAAAAATGGCATTGCTGTTAAATGCTATGATTATGTTGCATTCCCTGCCATCTTGGTTATGGATCATTTTGTTCATTCTCACATGAATAAAAATAAGCAGTTGGGAGCTACTTATACAAGGCTGCGGCTTACTGGTGGGAATTCTTCAAAATGTGATCAGTAAGAAAAATATTTTAATAATTAGCATGTGTCATGTGAACTTTGTATCTATGTAAATAATTTTTAAAAAATTATATATAAATTGTAGTATCTCTTACATAATGTAACATTAAAGGCCCAGAATGTGCAGAATCACCGGAAAAATATGGTTATATGGATAATTCCGTCTATCATTGTGGTAAATGGCTATCTCGCCAACCAAGCTGGTAATGGCTTTGGCGACTAGTTTTGTCCCCATGTTTAGCAAGAAATCCGCAGAAGTCACCAAGCTTGGCAACATTTTTCTCTAAACCCTGTGTAACTAACTGGTCCAAGCCCTATGTATGCCTTTCAGCAATTTTGAGAAATCGAAGATTCTGCAAATTTCTTGGCAGATGGGTCAACGCTATAAGACTGGAGAAAGCTACTGCCTTAATCAAAAACAAAGCTGGGACTATAGAAAGCAGACTAGACGAGGTTGAATATAAAGTTAGAGAAACTGAAGAAGAATTTCTGCTCTTGAACAACAAATTGATGACGAAGTTTCTGTTGCTGCTGCAAAGGAAGTTGACACCTTGAAGAAATCTATAGTGACAGCTGGACAGAATTCTGATGCCTTTAAATTCATACCTGTGTCTTCCCGATTCTCTCTAAAACTATTCCTATGTGATGGAAAGACCTCTTGGTAAGTGTACAAAACTCAGTTCTGTATAGTAGCAGATGAAAATGAATGGGATTCCAAAGCTAAGGGATGGCATCCTGATGCTTCTCTGAGAGCAGACACAGTGAATATCCTTCATAATCTACTCAAAAACCAGAGACTAGATATAGAACCAGAGGCAAAGCTTTATTTGGTGTGTTAGGTCTGAAGACATGATGTGTTTAAAAGACTGCAGTTGGCTTCACTTAAAAAATCTCGCCAGTAGAAGCCCATGGAAATACTCCAGTAGCTCACCATATATGTTAAAAGCTTGTCACATATCGACTTTTCAGACTGCCCAACAGAAACAAGAGAATGCTGTCCTTGCAATTTTTCATTGATGGCTTCCAGGACCCCAACATACAAAAAGGCTTGTGAATGGTGGGTGTCAAGGTTATGTATTTTAGGCTTTTTGCATTGTCTTGTGTTTAATTTTTATTGTTCTTGGTAGTTTGCAGTAGTAACTACTGATTGTGCTCTGTCACACTGAGAAGAGCTGTAACGAGTACATTTGTGAAAAGTTCCAGACCAGTAGAATGTTTCTTATGCAAAAATTAATTTTATCTAGCTATCATCGGCTCTGTCCATTATGAACCCACATGCACATAACAGTATGAAAATTCAGTATAATGTAGATATCATAAAATCAGTGTGTGTGGAAGCTCATTTTTACATCCGTCTTAGACCATTTTCAAGGCTCTTGGTTTCTGGATTTTCCCTTAGTGTTTGCAGTTTTCATGATTGATGTTTCCTCTTGAAAAGCCTTGGTAACAGTTGACAATTAGAGGCCATGGAAAGTCCAGAAAATAGCACATGGATAAGAATATTTCTGTAAAATTAAGTTTTCTTGTAAAAATTTCTTCATTAAATCAGAAGCTAATTTAATGAAAAGAAAATAATTTTATTGTTTATCCACTGTGGACTACTGAAAAAAATGTTTACAATTCTGCATTGCAAATGCTAGTTTATTAATTAGGTATTTTTCTAGTGTCGGTGGTTTTCCCTCTTTTTTTAAAATGTATGATAGTAAATTCTGAAAACAAAATTTAAAATTGAATAATAGTAAAATTATTCAAAAATTTCATGTTCATTACAGGCAAAATAATTTAACCCAGAATTCTTCAACCATTTTGAATTCTGCTTCTCCACCCGGGACTCGTACAGTAACGAACAAAAGTTGTGTGTCAATGAAAGATGATTCGTAAGTATTAAATTCATTAATGTGGAAATTTTTTATCTTGCTACAATCAGATTATAGCAATTAATTTTAAAAATCGTGCTAATTATTATTACTTGCTAATATATAGAAAATCTTTGGAAGTCACTTTTCTTAAAACTGTTAAGTAAATAGTCTTTAGTCTGTTATGTTGTAAAGACATTAGGTTTTTTAAAGCAGGAGACATGAAAATGAGCAATGTCCTCACCGGGATTCAAACCACGGACATGCTGGCCATTACACCACGAAGGCATGCTAAGAAGGCAGGAGAAATACCTTATATACTCCCCCCTTTTAAACGGCCACTGGGGATTAGGGGACCCAATCGCCAAATCCTGGTGGTGGATAACCATTATCCACCACCTTTTTTTTTAGTTCGGGTGCCATTGTAGAGACATTAGGATTTTTGATGCTGAAAGACCTAAAAAATTAGCAGTGCCCTCGCTGGAACTCGAACCACTGACTTCTCAATATGCGCCGAGCGTGCTAGTCATTACACCACAAAGGCATGCTAAGAGTACGAGAGAAATACCTTATAATGTGAAGAGCTATTTAAAAGTTTTGAATATATCTATCACATCGACATTGTTATATAGTTTGGAAAACAAACATATAATGAAAGCAAAAACATTAGAAATTGCAGTATTCTAAATATATTCATTATCTTATTACCCAGAAGAAATAATCCAAAAAACTATACATAAATTTGCATGATTCCAACAAATATGAAAGGATCATAAAGTCCTTAAAATTCCTTAGTTTTGCTCGTATAATGTTTCTGTGCCTCTTTTATGAGTGCCATTTCGATTGTAAATTAACAGTTTCGAAATCGACAATAATACTATCAGTTTGCGTTGGGAAAACAGAGTTTCTTGGACTTAAGCCTTGGCCTTTTGATTGTGCTTCTTTGTACTATGACAAAGATGTGACCTTTCATGGAAGTCACTTTTCATTAAAATTCCTACTGTTATCAACCCTCTATATTATATATGTAGATGCAGAAATTTAGTATTGAGAAAGGAATTAAATAAAGAATGAAAAGTATTGAGAAAAGAATGAATAAGGCACTTAAAAAAGGAGATGGGATATACTGTGAACAATTTGCTGATATCAAAACAATTTAAATTTGAAAGCCACATGCTTAAATCAATTTTAACTGCCCTTGCTGCAAGGCTTCTTATGTCCTTATGACTTGCCAACATTTTGGCAATTTCAGATCAGTTTGTATGTATAATTTTTACTTTTGCAAATTTTTCTTTCTTTTTACATACATAATAGCATTGTTAGAATTTCATTAATGTAAAAAATTGTTGTTTTAGAAAAATAGTTTTAAAATAAAACTTGCTTTTATTTTCTGTCGTATTTTCTTTCATATTGGTGACCTACGAATGCTTTGATTATGTAAAATAATAAAAAGTACAATTTTTGAATCACTTTTTAGAAAAGCAAAAATTCTACTGTAATTATTAAAAATTAATTTCATTTATATACTTTTATCTGTATATTACTTTTTTAATTAGAGTTTTCCCTCTGTGTACATATTTTAAAATATTTAGTTATATTTCAGTTTTCTCTGTAAAATTCACTTTAAACTTTTTTCACATTTTTTCCCCTTTCCTCGCCCTCAAAATCTTCTGATGTTTTACTCTTATAAAGTTGGCAATTATGACAATGAATTGGTTTTTGAAACCAACTGTTCCTTGCTAAGAAAATTTTCTTTTGGGCCAAGGACCTTGGAAGTTTCTAGCAACGTATACAAAAAAGATCCAATGAAACCCATGAAAAGTTTGCAACAAGATGAAAAATGTGTTCATGGTTTAACACATAATAGGTGTATTTTATGGGAAGATTGTGGTGAATTTATATTATTATTTGGAAATTTTTTTAGAAAATTATTTAAATTTTTTACATTTGGTCTGAGGAGTTTTTCTCCATTTCCTGACACATTTCTTTTCTCTTCCTCCTTTTTTATGCTTTTATTGTGCATAAGCAAGGAAAATTACGAAAAAGATTCTAATCTTCACTTACAGAGGTATCTGTAGAAAAGAATTTATCTGTGAATAACTGAATTTATTTGTGAATTAAAGATTTAAAAGATTTATTATTTATTTATTATGTAATGAAATGTAAATTATATATTTAAGTGCACCATATATCGCTTCGTAAATTTTTCTGAAAGCATTCTCAATATTTATAGAATTAGAGAAATAAGATGTATAATTTCTTCTGCACATTATATATATATATGTTTAACTAAATCTGAAAATTCAAAGAAGAGAAAAATTTTATTAAGAAATTAATTGCTTAAAGCAAAAGAAAATTTTTCAAATTGATATTGTTGGAAGTGACAGATCAGCAGATGAAGAGGAGACTAGTACTATTTATTAAAGCAGATGAATTTAGATAAGGTGTTAGAAAGGAGGAGAAGAATATAAATTAGCTAAAGTACTCATGAAAATTTCAAATTAAAAAAAAATGCAAAATTATGGATATTTTGTAGCTTTTAATGTATAATCGTTCTAACATTTTTAACCCACTGTGATAAATTAATGATTATGTAAATGACTATAGGGATGGCCAAAGTGATAGTCTCCTTAAAATGTATGTAACTGTTATAAGTGTTAAGTATACATATTTCAGAAACTTTCATCCCTAATTTACTACTTTAAAGGTAACTTTAGATATTACTTCAGAGTTTTTGTTTAACTTGATAACTTTTAGAGAGTGGTTTCATTTTCAAATTTGTTTCACAGTCAGATCAAGTCACACTTTCTGATTTGACCCACCTTATATTTTGTAAGCTGTTATTTTTACGCAAGGTTTGTACGATCCTTAAGAGTCCTTAAATTTTTTGGAATTGATTTTTGGTCCTTAAAAGTCCTTAATTTTAATCATCTGAAATTTCTGTCTGTTTTTACGACTGCCATTTTGAGTGTTAATTAGCATTTTGGAGGAATATTTTTGGCGATTCACTGACATGTATGGTTATTTTTTGAATGGCTTATAATTTGTTTCTATTTCTAATATACACTCATGTCCATAAATTAAGGATAATACAAAATCAGGCAAAGGAAGAGTTAGAAGCAAAACAAATTTGACTTATTTGTAAAGCTTATTTATTAAACAAAAGGTAAAGAGCAAAAAAAGATGCTATATGTTTGATATTATTAAACAAAATAGCAATTTTTTCTCCCTGGAGCAAATTAAAAAAAAAAAAAAAAAAAAACTATTTACAAAAAACCAATATTACATGGTTGGTATGATTGTTAATACATTGTATGTCTCCCAGAACAATGCAATACAGTCCGTACAATGCCTAGGCATGCTGAGTATCAAATTATCGATCTGATCTTGGAGGATATTACACCACTGAAAAAGAAATGCTCTCCGAAGTTCCGTTAGACATGTAGGAGGAGGTTGACGGGCTGCAACTCATCGGCCAAGTATGTCCCACACGTGCTCTACTGGATTCAAATCCGGTGAGAATGCTGGCCAGTCCATACGGGTGATATCCTTCGATTGAAGGCATTCGCTTACGATGTTTGCATGGTGAGGATGGGTGTTGTCATCCATAAACACAAATTGTGCACCCATGGCGCCCCGAAACAAACGTACATGTTGTTCCAGAATGACGTTCCAATAGATTTGGCTTGTCATGGTTCCAATTTGAACATGCAGGTCAGTTCTGGAACCCAGAATAATTCCACCCCAAACGAGCACTCCTGCACCACCATAACGGTGTCATTCAATGATGTTTTCTTGGGAGTAACGGGTACCTGATGTTCTCCATATGAAAGTCCGGCGAGAATCAGACTGCAAGCTAAACCTTGACTCGTCAGAAAACATCACACAAGCCTACTGTTGAGGTGTCCACAATGCATGCTCTCTACTCCAGGATAACCACAGGCGACAGTGAGTTGCAGTAAGTGGAACGCATCAGACAGGTCTACGAGCATATAAACCAATCTGCCCTAAGCGTCTGTACACGAAATTGTCGTACCAGTGGCTGAAGAGACAGGTCTGAGGCTGTGCTCCGCCTGTTTCTTTTGGCAGTAACTGCCAAATACAGGTCCACATTCGGCGTTGTAACTCTGGGGCAACCTGTGCAGTAACGTCTACTCACATTTCCATCATCTTGGAATCATTGCCAAAGCCTGGAGATGACACTCTGGGCAATTACAAGTTCGTCTGATACTTCCAGTTGGGTACGCCCACATTCCAGACGGCCGATAATTCTACCACGTAAAAAATCATCCAAATGCGTCATTTGTGTCATAACTATTCGGTTAGTGCACTGAAATGCTTATAAAGCGGCTGCGAACAATTTTACTTCTTTGCCTGTATTCCTTATATATCACTCTCTTACACTCTCGTCATTGTGACGTACCATCGGTGTAATTTAGTTACTTCCTGAAATTTGCATGTGATTCTTGATGATGTGTGTAGTGATTTTACAGGTGATATATTTATTTTAGAGTTCAATTTCCACGTGACTCCGAATTATCCTTAATTTATGGACATGAGTGTAAATAACGGTATACTCGAGTTTCTAAGCAAGAAGTGAAACATAAGCATTTCGAAATTCATTTTTTCTAATAAAGAGCTCTTAAACAACTTTTCTCTTTTGGGGATGTGAATTCTTTTATTAAACGGTTCTAAATTTCGTGACTTGTCAGCATTTTGGGGATTTTAAAGTTAGTTTCTATAGAAAATTTTTAATTCTGAGATCTGAGATTCTTTTTAAAACATCATAACATTGATAAATTTCATTAAAATAATGGTAATATATTGAAGTTATATTTAAAAAATATTAAAATAAAGCATTTTTATTTTTTCACTGTCATTTGAGAAATATGTGACAAAATGAAAAATGCCTCCATGGTATCAACACGTAATGGATGTTTTACAGAAAGTTTGTGATGAATTTCTTACTTTTTGGAGAATGCATGGAAGAACAATGAAAACATAATATTTGAATGTTTTAC